GGCCGTCCGAACCCATGTGCACTTTTCCGGCGTACATCGGTGCTTCAGCTGACGAGCACGAGTGGCGCACATGCAAGGCGTTCTTTTCCAGTGCGGGGAGAGCGGCTTAGGCGGCTCCGGTGGTGAGCCGGGTGTGTGTGCCAGTCCGCGCGAGTCAATTCTTTTTTTTGAGAGCGCCTTCATTCTTTTTCCACATGGAACGGGGCTTTCCCGTGAGGAGAAAACAAGTTCGTTTAAGTTCGTTTTCTACCCTTATAAGTCTTGTGCCGGAGCGCCGACCGCTCTTGAAGCCGCGAACCAGCTCAAACTCGGCCGTCCCGCCGCAAAGCGTCGGCCTCAGCTCGGGAGCCAACAGCCGGCGCGCATGGGGGGCAAGGAGCGAGAGCGCGAACCGCCACCGGCCACCGACGACGAGGATGCGACGCAGGCGACCACGCAGGATGCGACGCAGGCCCGCAGGCGACCACGCAGGAAGGCTGCTGGCGTCGTGGGGGAGTCATCCGGCAAGCGCAGCCGACAGCACAGCATCACCAGCTCACCGCTGGGCTCGCAAGCGGCGAAAGCGAAGGGCCGCCGCCATGTCGCAAGGGGAGCGGGCGACGAAACGAGTGGCCGACCAGCAGCGACGCCGCCGTGAGCAGCGTGAGAGCAAGGAATCACAGCCAGCATCGATCACCTTTGACGCTGCGGTGGCAAAGGTCGCGTCGGAGGCAGCTCTCGGCGTGGCGGAGGTTGAGGATTTCCGCGACTGGCTGCTCGACCCACAGCAAGCTGGACAGCCGATCGACGGTGAACGCATCACCGAGTGGCGCGCCTCCGAAGCGTACGAGCGCGCCCGGCTCGAGTGCATGGACGGTTGCATGTGCGAGGGTGCGTGCACGTGCACCTACGCTGGCGTAGGCATCGCCCCAGACGTGCCTGGAGTTACCTGCGACTACCTCGACGAGGCGCTTTTGGAGCCGCGCGCCAACGACGGGCAGCCGCGTCAGGTGGGGATTGGGTGCCGGAGGGCTGGGATGGCGTCGAGGCCGATCGGCATGAGGAGCGGGCTAAACTCGAGCGTGTCTGAGCGGATTGAGCGAGAGAAGCAAGACGGCCTCGCACACGCTTCAGAGAAAATTTGGGTGGAAGATTTTGAGACTGGTGCTTGGCCTTGGGGGGCCTCTCCACCCGTGGCAGCATTGCCAACTATCGCAACCGCCATGTAAACCCCGTCTTTTGCGCGTATGAAGCTTACACGGGCGATGCTGCTGAGGCCGATGCATACCTGCGCGACCCGGGTTCAGAGGCGTCACAGGCATGGCTCGAGGCGCAGCTTGCTCCAGGCGGTGGCCAGGTCCGACACCTCCTGGCTCGCCCGCCTACGGGGATGACTGTTACTTCTCCTACCCGTACTCGCCAGTGAGGCGGCCACGCGAGGAGGCGCCTGACGACAGCAACGCATATGAGCTCGACCAGGAGCGCGCGCTGGAGCTGCAGGGGCGCATCTCCTTATTTTACGGCCGGCCTTGGGACGAGGTGCCGAGAGGCGCGGGAGCTGCAGGGGCGCATCTCCTTATTTTACGGCCGGCCTTGGGACGAGGTGCCGAGAGGCGCGACGGTGCCAGTGACTTGCGAGTGGACCATCGCATCATTCAGCCGACAGCAGCAAATGCACGCTCTCGCCCGCACCGGTAGCCACGGACTTTGACATTGAGGACGAGTTCCTGCAGGAGCGTGCGCGGTGGTTCCGCGACCACGGCGGTGGCGGCGAGCTGGAGGGCTCGACGCGAAAGCAGAACGAGGCATTCCAGCGTTTGAAGGACCGCCTCTTTAGCCTTCCCCGCGACCGCGCGAACCCGTCGGGCACACCGCGTGCCTCGCAACGCCGGGCGTCGGGCGCCGGATCAAGCACCGACCCCCTGTGAGACTGTGGACGGTGCCTGGGACTCGAGCCTGGCTGGAATGGAACATCGGAAGAGCTTTACATTACGAATTAGTAGTAATTATGAAAAATATACGAGCGAGCTAAATCGCGATCACTCTCCACCCTCGAACGTCTGTGGAGGTAAGTGAGTACCTGTGTGCCAGGAGAAAAAGGCGGGTACCCGCTGGGCTGCCCGAAAAAAGTATTTTGAAAAGAAACGCGGTGATCGCCGCTCCTCCCTTTTGATGCTAGCCCTCCTGCTGGCCTCAGCGTCCGCGGAGCTCGCCGGCGGATCGCGCGAGCACCAAGACGCCGTCTCGCGCGGCGACGCCGAGACGATTGCGCACAGCTTGCCCGTGGTGCAAGCTGAGGCATCGAGGCGAGAGTTGACGGCGCACGCGCAGAGCCAGGGCAGTTTTGAACTGGACTCAAGGCGCCTCTCGACCGAGTGCACACTCGAGCGCTCTGCCTACTGTAGCGGCATTACGGATGGAATCCCGCTCTGCGCTTGCCTGTGCCGCCACCTCTCTGCCACCTACACTCGCTCTTGCGTCGGCACGCTCGCCATGTTTATGCAGACCTGGCATCACGAGGCTGGGAATATCGCGGACAGGGGGCTGGGACCCCCTCCCACCGCCTGGGCCCTCGGCGTCGCGCTGGTCTCCTCTGTCTTTCTCACCGGCGCCATCTCGGTGGTTTACTGGTACGCGAGGGCGACGGCAGCGGCGAGCTCCCGGGCGGTGTCGACCACGCCGCGGCGCGAGATCGCTTTTTACGAGGCCGACGCGCCGTCCGACGGCGCCGCCATCACCGACGACGTCGGCAGCGTCGGCTTCATGGTAGCGATGAACCCTGGCGAGCACAACCCCGCGATCGCGGTGCCTGTGAAGAAGTCTGGCGAGGCCGGCGCCACGCTCCTGTGATGCAATCGCGGCGAAATGTGTCCCTCAGGGCGCCGCGGCGCCGCCGGCGGTCTCGCCTCCGGCAGCGATCCTGATAGTCCAGTCACACCGAACACACTTGTCCTCCAGCTTGTACTCCTAGTTCCTGTCCCGTGTCCGTGTTGCTGTCGTCCGCTGTCCTCTTCCCTCTTGTATTTTTGTGCGATATTTCTGCAAAAATGGCTTTGATTCAGTGCGCGCCAGTCCCTCGCGCCGGTGAGCAGTGTGGCGCGGAGAGAGCCGCGTCCTTGGGGGAGAGTGCTAGACTGCTAGTTCGTAGTTGGTGACCCGAGTCGCGAGAGTGCGCGGACTGCGGTTGCGCGCGGGGGTTTTTTGGCCTGTATTTATGTATTTATCACTGAATCAGCCTGTAACCCCGTACCTATGTGCTACCTCACACGACAGGTAGTCGCACACCCAGGGCCGGCGGCCGGGGAGCTAAGAAGCGGCACCCAGCGGGCCGGATGATCCAGGTGCTAAATTCTCGTTCGTGTGAATCGTGCGTGTTGGCTGTTGCGAGAGCCTTGCGGTAAAATTCGAGCACTTGGAGTGCAGTCGGTAACCTCACACCCAGGGCCGGGGAGCTAAGAAGCGCACCCCAGCGGGCCGGATGATCGGTATCGGGTTACGGGCTAGAGAGCCCTACCTAGCCCTGGGCCCCCAGGCCCTAGGGGGGGTGCGCGTTCGCACGGAAGGGACCATAAAGTAAACACGGGTCTCCGAGGGTTAGTCCGCGCTTTGGGTTTCCCCTAGCGGCGGAGCGCCCCTCCACTCGGAGCTAAGAAAACACCACACACGCACACGAAGAAGTAAAATTCTCTTTCGAGCGGTGTGTACCTGTGTTAGTGCCAGTGCGCGCCAGTCCCGTGCCCAAAAAAGAAAGAAAGAAAACAGTGCTCCAAGAAAACAGACAACCCAAGGGAGGGATGGGAGGACGGCACGCCGCCACCACACACACAGGGATTTTAGGGGAGAAGTGTGGTGCTAGCCGTCGCCCACCCTTGGGCGTCTACCACTTCCTTCTCTTCGCAGTTTCTCACCAATTCTCGCAGCGACCTTCATGCCACCTCGCGTTCTTCCCACTCTCTTGGAGCACTTGGAGTGCAGTCATTAACCGCACATCCAGGGCCGGGGAGCTCAGAAGCGCACCCAGCGGGCCGGATGATTGGCATCGGGTTGCGGGCAAGAGAGCCCTAGGTAGCCCTGGGGGGTGCGCGTTTGGAGGGCAAGGGCCGTAAAGTAAACACGGGTCTCCGAGGGTTGGCCCCGCATACCAGGTTTCCCCTTAACTGCAGGACGCCCCCTCTACTCGGAGCTAATGAACACCACACTGCACGCCCCACACCACCACTCCGCACTACCGCACTCACTCGCGCAGGCACTTGAGTAGACCCCCAGGGCTCACCCCCCGTCTTCCCAGGGTCCCGACCCTCCTTGATTCGCTCTCTTGCTCGTCTCCCGAGCGTCATGCGACGGCCGGTGTGGCCGTTTCCCTCGTTGTTGGTGTCGCTTCCTCCGCTGCCGCCCTTCGTCCTCGCCAGCTTCTCCCGGCTCCACCGACTCCGAGGGCATCGACGGCCCGGCCGGGGTCTCCCCGGGCGAGGGCGGCGGCATCGTGTCTCGTCGCCACCCCTCCCTGGGAGGTCGGGCCGGCTCTCCCTGGTCGGCGAGTCGCGCCCGCATCCGCGGTCTCTCTATCGTTCTCGGCTCGCCCTTCCCCTCCGCCGGCTCCTCACTGAGCTCGGGGAGGCGCGGCCCCCCTTGTCGTAGATCACGGCGGTCCGGCTGCCGCCGCGACAGGTCTACCCCCGGCGGGTTCGCACGGCCCGACTCCACTCGTAGAGGCTGAGTCAGCTCGACTCTCACCACCCCCGACAGTTGGCTCCAGGCCTCAACCGGGGCCCTCCGGTCCTGGCCTTCCGGTTCGCCGGCTGACCCGCTGTCCCCCCACGGCACCCGCCCCCCCCGGTCCCCTCCCCCTCGTCGTTCTCTCTCTCCTGCTGTTTCTTCCTCTGACTCATCGCTCTCCTCGGCCTCGTTCTGAGACACCGCTGCCGTCTGCCGACCTCTTGCTCTCGCTGCTTCTCTCGCCTTTCTGCGTAGGAATTCCAGCACTGCGTGCGCGTCCGTCACCGTGAGTGCGTCCGCGCCGTCCTTCTGGTACATCTCCATTGCCGACGCCGCCACCGTCTCCAGGCCCTCGATAACCTGCGCGGCAGTGCCCGCGCCGGTCTGGGTCTTCCGCTGCTCGCGCCGCTGCACCATCTTCCAATCTTTGCCATCGCGTCGAGAAGCGAAGATGCTCTCGACCATGGATGAGGTGCCCTTCACCGCCGCTCCCGCGACCTCGTTCGCCCTGAGAGCCGCCTCGTCGAAGGCTCCCCGCTCCTTCGCGGCCTGCTGCGCCCGCACCACGTCCATCGCGTTCGCCGTCTGCGACTTGTGAGCTTCGCCACCTTCGCCTTCCTCTCCCGCGCCGCCGCCGCCTCCCGGTCCTCGCGGCGGTCCGCCAGGGGGTCGTCGCCGGCGTCGTCAGCCGCGATCATGGCCGTGACGGCCTCGCCGGCCATGTCGATTCTCGGTCGATCGATCGCGCTTCCCAAAAGTCGCCAAAAGTGGCGGCGAGTCGCAAATTACCCGCTCGCCGTCCCGGCGGTCCCGCAGCTCGCGCGCATCTCCCTCTTAACCCACCTCCGTAACATCTCTCTAAGGAATTCCAACTCCGCTCTCCTCTCCGCGTATTTTGGTCCCTCGAGTTTATCGAGCATTCCTCGCGCAAGGACCACATTTCTGACTCCCACTGCGATCATATCCCGCCATGTCATGTCGTTGCTCAGGTCCACTCTCGTTTCGAGCACTTGTACCTAAGAAAGAAAACAGACAACCCAAACGAGGGATAGGGGAGGAGGACAGGGTCCCCACCTGCACGAGCAGGATTTTGTACCAAAAAAAAGAATGTGCGCGTCGGGCCGGGGTGTGAGCGAGGGGCAGAAGGGGCGGGGGCGTGCGGGGCAGAGGCCCAACGTCGGGCGGCTTGTCGGGGTCCGGAGAATTCGAGGGGGGAACGAGGAGGGGGGGATGGGCGGTCGGCGTCGGGGTAGAAGCAACAGGGGGCGTACGGGGTAGCCGTCACTTTCCTGCCTCGAAAGGGCGGGGCTGTCCCGGAAAGTGAGAGACGCCGGGCAGCGTGGCGCACAACTGAACCCTCCCATACGTGTTTGTGGCTCCTCCTTTGCTGTCCCATCTCCTCATCTCTTTCCCGCCTGGGCGGGGCAGTGGGCGGGCGCGCGGTGCGGCGTGGCGTGTGTGTGTGTGCGACTGCAACGAAGGACCGCTAGCGAGGGACCATTGGGTTTGTACTATTAACAACGAAGGCGCTCAAAAAAAGAAAGAAAAGCTGCCATCAAGGGAGAGTGGAGGACGGCAGATCGCCGTCGAGCGGGCCGACCACACGATGCGCATCCTAGTCGGAGCAGCGTCGCGCCCGCACTTGACGCCCGTGCACGCTGCAGGCTCAGCGCCCGTTATGCTCGGAGTCTTCGAGTGCCCACTCTTTACCAGGACACCGCCGCCACCGCCACCGTCTTCGAGTGAGCCGCAATCGCCTCCCAGAGCATCGCCACCGCCGCCGTCGCCTCCCAGAGCATCGCCTCCGCCGCCGTCGCCGCCACCGCTCGAGGCGGTCTCTCTAGCTGTGGAGCGCCAGGCGCAGCGCGCGCTCGGCGTCGATCGAGCGCTGGGCGCCATCGCCGCGGAAACCGCCATTGAGACTGCGGTGCGGGCTGTGTGCGACGAGGTGGGCTCGTTGGAGGTCGAGGTGGCGGCCGAATCGACGTGGCAGATGCTGACGCTGCCAACCAAGCGCGGCAGCGTCACCGCGGCCTCCGTGAGGGCGCGCAGTGTCGTGGCGGGCGGCGTCCGCGCCTCTTCTGCAGAGCTCTCCTTCCCGGAAGGCGTCAGCGTCGTCCTCGGCACGCCCACGTCGTCGCAGCCCGCCGCACAGCCCGCCGCTTTCGGACTGCCGAACCTCGCGCGGCGCACGCCGGCGGACTTCGCGGTCCGCTTCTCCCAGGACGACCTCTCTCGCTCTCCGGTGCTCTTCGCGTCGCTCGAGGCGCTGCTGCAAGAGCTGCTTCGGTCGGGCGCCTCGGCGGCGATCGGCAGCGTGCTGCCGCAGGACACGGCGGCGCTGCGCATCACGCTGCGCGAGGTCGAGTCTCTCCGCGACGGCCGCATCACCCTCATCGCCGACGGCACGAGCACGCGCGCAGACGGCTCTCTCGTCTCGCTGCAGGGGCTGCGAGTCCGCACCGCGGTGGGCGTGTCGCGGGTGGAGAGGATGGTGGTGCTGAGCAGGAGCGAGCTGCTCTCCACCTTCGAGGGGCTCGGCGCGCGGCTCGAGGTCGGCCTCCCCTTCCTCCGCGGCGCGGGCATCCCTCTCCCCGCCGGTCTCACCCTCGAACAGCTCGCGGTGCTCGATGGCGCAGTCACCGCGCGCGGCAGCGTCACCCTCGAGCCGCTCGACTATTCGGCCCTCCTCGAGCAGGCGCAGCAGATCCAGGCCGACTTTGCCGCCCCGGCGGCGACCTCAGCGACCGTCGACACGGAAGGAGTCGTCGAGGAGCAGCCCGCCGGCACGAGTCAGGGCAGCCTGCCACGCGGCGTCTGAGAGCAGCTGGACGCTTGGGAGCGGGGCTGCTCACATCCAGTCCAGCGGCACTGTACTCCTGGGAGAGAACGGCCGTTTGGCTTGCAACCAAGTATGTGTGATCAACACCACCCCCCGTCGCAGTCTGTGGCAGGTCTGTGGCCTGTCTGTGAGCTGTAGGCCGTATGCGCGGCGCCCTTCTCCCCGCTTGATCTATATGTATGTGGAAAGGAGAGCTGTATGCGAGAGCCGTGATCACACGCCAACCGTCTCTCAATTTGTCGATGTACGACACGAGAGAGAGAGAAACGAGCTGGCCGGAGGGCGGAGGCGGAGCGGCGAGAGCGCATGCCACGCGGCGGACGCGTGTGCGCGAAAATCAAAATGCCGAGGCCCGAGCGAGAGACGTGTGAGACGGAAAGGATTTATAACACGAATCACAGACTCTGACAGAGGCGTGTCACGTGTCAGGCTCCCCCGCCTCACTGGCGCCCAAGGGCGCCAAGGAGCCAGCAGCTGCGGCGCTGTCGCGCTGTCCGCGGAATGTGCTCGACCCGGAATTCACGCCCGACGCCCCTGGGCACAAAAGGGGCCCCGCCCCATAGAAAGGCAACCGTGTTAGAGTTGTTTGGTATTGCTAAAAATCTCTCTCTAGAAAGGAAGGAGTCTCCCTCCCACCCAAGCAAGAAAGAGTGAGAAGGAAGGTGACTTGTGTCGTGTGCCCGTCGTTCGATTGTTGTGTTGTGTGTGTGTCTCTCTCTACTCTTGCGGATTTCTTCTTGCTGTTTGTGTTGCGTGTACGTACTCTCTCTCTCTCTCTCTCCTCTGTACTGTACTTTTAGCTTACTGGGAGAAAAGGGAGAGGGGTTTGTGTTCTCTAGGCCCCTAAGTAAGGCCCTACGCGCGTCTCTCTCTCTCCTCTTGCTTGTGTTTGGTTTTGGCCCCCGGTTTTGCATTTCGCGTGCGTGGACCGTTGGTGGAGTCCGTCTCATATATCGCTAATTCAGGCGTGCTCATCATCGACACTGTAGGTGAACCTTCTTTTCTAGACCGCTAGGATTGAGAGCAGCCTCGCTCTCAATCCTATAAGTCGAAGGATTGTGAGCAGCATTCCTCGCAATCGTAGCATCTCTGTACGATTGCTAGCACCCACGCTCGCAATCCTACATCTTCTAGGACTAAGAGCAGCTCCGCTCCCAAGGTGACTGGTGACGCCTACGACTACTACCAGCGCGCTCGCAATCCGAGCAAAGCCTAGGATTGCGAGCAGCTTTGCTCACAATCCGAGCAACATGCCTCCGATTGCGAGCAGTAGCGCTCGCAATCCTACATCTTGTAGGACTATGAGCGGCGGCGCTCACAATCGTACCCAAGATCCAAGGATTGCTAGCATTTGCACAGGGGGCGCTCCCAATCGCTCCAGCCGCGAGCGCTTGTGAGTGAGCGCGCCGGGAGGGTCTCCTCACAATCCAAACAGTGATCGCACCGATTGCGAGGGGACCCGCTCGCAATCCTAGAAGTCGTAGGACTGTGGGCGGTGTCGCTCGCAATCGGCGAAAGTTCTAGGATTGCGAGCGCTCCTGCTCGCAATCGGAGGCATGTTGCTAGGATTGTGAGCTAAGCTGCTCGCAACCCTAGAGTTTGCTCGGATTGTGAGCGCGCTGGTAGTAGTCGTAAGCGTCAGCAGTCACCTTGTGAGCGGAGCTGCTCTTAGTCCTAGAAGACGTAGGATTGCGAGCGTGGGTGCTCACAATCGCACAGAGATGCTACGATTGCGAGGAGTGCTGCTCACAATCCTTCGACTTCTAGGATTGAGAGCGAGGCTGCTCTCAATCCTAGCGGTCTAGAAAAGAAGGTTCACCGACACTGTAGTCTTCCCTAAGTTTTACACTTCTGTCACGCAGCGTTCAGGTTTTGGGCCAGCACAGCCACAACAACTTATACGGCCCGTGCGTCATTTAGAGGAAACACGTGCTGCGGCGGAATGGGCGAGTCGAACCATATGTCGCCTCGCCCAAACGAAGCACAGTGACATCTCTCTTTTCGGTTTCACCACTAGGCCCTCCATGGCACCTCGCACCTGACCTCGAGCCAGAGTGGCGCCGGCGCGTAGAACCATTTGTTGGTCAGCGGTGGTGCGCAGCCTCTCCTCTCTTGCCGTTGCTATGCTTGCTCCATCCCTGAGTTTTTGAGTCGCGTGCAGGCTTTATGCGCCTGGGCTGCCGCGATGGTGCATTGTACGCAACCCGGCCGAGCGGTGAATGGGCCACTCAGCGACCTTATGCTTGGAGCGTATCTCTATCTGAACAGCTTCTCACCTGTTTGCCTTGTTGCCTTACCCGTAGGTGGGTAAGCTGTCAGTCGTGGAGCCACCGAAAGGGCTCGTCGGTCGTTGGAGATTGGCGCGCAGAAGAGAATATTTCCCTTTCTACGCCGCATGCGGCCTCACGCAACCTCCCACCCGTAGGCACGGAGCCCGCGACGGAGCTGCGCTATGGTCTGCCTCTCGCCACTGCTGCCCACGGCCATCGTCCGAACTAGGTGCGCCGCCGTTGACCGACGCTAAGTTGGCGGAAGCGCTGCGGCGGCCGCGCGCCAACGTGAGCTGGACAGGTTCGCCGCCCGAATCCTCTCAATGCTGCCGAGGGGTTCCGACCCCGCGCTCGGTTGCGGCAGGGGAGCTGCTGCACAAGCAGCCGCAGCACCGGTACGTGTGGAACGAGCACGGCGGTGTCGAGTGCGACTGCGTGGTACGCTGGGATAGACACGACTCACGTTAGACGAGAGTCTACACCCATGCTCACTCGCTCGCAGTCTTAGCGAGCAGGCTGAAACGGCAGCAGTTCCCTCTTGCGACGCTTTCTCTTGATACATGAAGGTTGCCATCGAACGGCTGAGAAGAATTACGACGGCGACGCAGCTGGCAAGCACACCACTAGCAGCAGGGCAACTGCTGCCGATGAGCCATACGTTGAGCGCACTGTATCGTCCAGACCTTCTGCTCTGGTCGCGTGCCAGGCGGGCTAGCGGGCTGTGCTATAGACCTACGCCGCGTGCCGCTGCGCCGGTCACCGATGTAGATCACGTGCATAAATTTTCGTGAAAAAGGCGCCGGACAAAAAAATCGTGCCGCAGCGCACTCGACACAGGCGCCACACAAGAGTCTCTCGCGTGTTGGACACCTTCTCGGATCTCGCAATATATATACCTCGAGGTATACACAATACACACGGGGCGCGCGCGGCGCCCGGCGGGGGAACGTCTCTGGAGACGCGAAGTGCGCGATCGTGACACACACTCACTTACCTTTAGACTGAGAAGCACACTGGTGACAGCCTGCGATTATAACACACCTTTTCACGCCTGGCGCGAGACCGACCCGGAGCTTGGGCGCCTCGCGGCCGAGCCCGAGGCCCGAGCTGCGCCTCGCATCCCAGCCCCCACACGTCACGACTAGCCAATCTGCAGCTTGTACAGCACGAGCAGAGAGAGGCAGCAGCCCATGACCACCCCGAGGATGGTCTTGTCGCGCGACCGCTTTCTGCTTATCCGCCCGAGCAGCGCGTTGATCTGCGGCGCCACGGCAGAGAGCTGCTGCAGCTTTGAGCCGACGCCGCCAAAGATGCCTCGCTGGAGGCTGAGCGCAGCCTTGGTCTCGGCGGCGTGCTCGAGCAAGCCGTCGAGCGCGCGATCGGTGGCGTGCACGGCATTGCGCTCGCGCAGCAGCGCGTCGGTGGCGCGACTCGCCGAGCGGTGCTCGACGATGTCCTCGCGCACCGAGGTGAGAAGCTGCTGGCGCTCGTCGGCCATGCGCAGGTTGGCCTTGGTCTTTGAGAACTCCTCGAGAAAATCGTGCAGGATCTCGCGGTGCCTAGGGCAGCGAATGGAAATCGCCTGGACCCGCCGCTCCACACGAGAGCCGCTGCGTCGCCACGCACCGCTGCAGCGTGTGCAGCGTCGTCGCTGCTCGACCCGACGGCGCTGCGCTAGCCGCCCGGCTCATCGCGTCGTTGACCTCCTGCAGCCGTGTCAGTGATGCCTGCGGACACGAGACGAAAAGCGTCAGCGCGGCGCCACATGCTTCCTCGGACAGAGAGTGGCCGTGCCTGGACGTCACGGGTGCGCGCCTCGACGCCACCACTGCTCGCGCCGGGATCGGAGAGGTCTGATCGGCCCAGCTGCATCAACTCGGCGTCGAGGGTGTGCTCGAGCCGCCGCGCCTCGCGGCGGAGCTCGTCCATCGACATGAAGGGCGACACCTGGGCCAGGCCGCCGGCGCTTGGGTTGCAAGAAAAAAATCTCGCCTGCGCTCGTGGTGAGCCTGATGTATGTGTGTGGCGCTGTTGGTGGGCTCACGACTTGGTGGCAGTTGCACCAGCCCTGCCAAATGTCGCCACCGAGGGTGCACCCGCAAAAGAAAAACTGCGTACTGGCTCGCACTGGGTGAACTCAAGTACCCTCCAGCGATGATTCTGTCAGAGAGCCTTTGTTCTGTGTTGCCCCCTCTGTGTTCCCCTCTTTGTCAGTGTATGTAGCTCTTACGTACATTCCCGGAGGAGGAGTCTGCATCTGCTGACACCGGACAGTACCATCTGGCAAAGACCTGCTTCGCAGCCCGCATCTCGTGGGGACCATGTCCTCCTCCCCCATCCCTCGTTTGAGTTGTCTGTTTTCTTTCTTTCTTTCTCCATGTCTGGTGTTTACTAGCTCCGAGTAGAGGGGGCGTTCCTCTGCTGCTAGGGGAAACCCAAAGCGCGGAGCCCTCGCGCGGAGAAAATTGTTTACTTTACGGCGGCCCTTTCCCTGCGAACGCGCACCCCCCAGGGCTAGGGCTCTCTAGCCCGTAAATGAGGGTATCCGGCGAACCAGTTTAGACCATGTTTAGACCATGTTTAGACCACGGCTGAACACGAGCACCAGATAGTCCTGTTTACGATAAGCTGGGTCTAAACAGGGCTCGGCCTGGGTGGGGGACCCCATAAGCCATACCAGGTTTAGACCCGGTTTAGGGCGCCCCTACCCCTCGCGCTGCTCCGCCGCCGCGGCCGCGCTGGCTGCGGAAGCGGCAGCGTGCAGCCGCCATCCTCTGCCTCGCGGGCCGGACAGCCACACCTGGCACACTTGCACCGCGCAACAACAGCCTCGCCGGTCAGGCGCACGGTGTCGTCGGGCAGCGTGATAATCTCGTCCATGCCCGTCGTCGAAGTGCATCAGCAGCCGCGTGGACCCTCGAGACGGTCAAGATTGCCATGCACTTCCACAAAATCGACCAGCGCGAGAAGAAGCAAGGCCGCTGACGCTTGCGCGTGCCGCTGAGATCCGCGTCTCTCTCGTCACAGAGCAGGGGAGCTGGGGCGGGGGAGGTGCGCGCTGCCGGGGGGGGGGGGGGGGCATTAGCCCCATACCAGGTTTAAACCCCGGTTATCGTAAACAGGACCAATCTGGTTCGTGTTCAAAAAGTGGTCTAAACTGGTGTAAACTGGTTCGCCGGATACCCTCCTCCGTAACCCGATGCATCCCGATCATCTGGCTCGCTGGGTGCGCTTCTTAGTCCCCGTCCCTGGATGTGAGGCTGCCGACTGCACTCCAAGTGGTTGAGATGAGATCTGTGCGTGACGCTACTGGGGACCTTCTTGTACAGCATCGGCATTCGCTACTACTGCACAGCTGCACAACATCCGCTACTGCACAGGAAGGGGAGTCATCAAATCAAAGAAACAAGGTGCGTGGGCGAGCGCGAGCGAGAGGAGGAAGACATGATGGATGGGACGGAAGCTGGGAAGAGCATTTCCATTTGACGACGGAAAAACGGAAGTTAAAATAAAAAAAGAAAAGGAAGCGCGTCCGCAAAAGAGGAGGCCTTTTTGCGCGCTCCGAGTCATGCCGAGACGCGCCCCCCGCCGATGCGCCTCCGCACCGCGCCCACAGTGAGCCCGCCGCCGATTCCAGAGAACGTGGTGTCGGCGGCGCATGAAGGCTTGCTGATTCCAATTCGGACGTGGTTCAGCGGCGGCGGCAAGGCCGACGCGACCTACGAGACAAGCGGAGCTAGCAGCCGCACGCTGCTGATCAGCTGATGCTTGCGGCCGCCAACGGCCAAGAGAGTGTGGCCGACCTGCTTCTTAAGGGGCGCGCAGGTCGACCTGCAAGACAGCAACGGCACCACCGCACTGCTTGAAGCCGCCCAGAGGGGCCACGTGCAGGTGATGGACATGCTGCTCAAGCGCGGCGCAGAAGTCAGCCTAGCAAACAACGACGGCGTGACCGCGCTGACGGCTGCCATGCTCCACGGAAAGACCGAAGCCGAGCTCCGCCTGATGTCGGCAATCGAGAGCAACTGGTTTGAAGCGTGGGTGCTGCCGTTGCTCGACGGGACCGGGCGGGTCAACGCGGCCTCAATGCGCGGGCGGTGGGCCGGCGTACGTACCGTCGACACGGACATCGAAGGCCTTGCCGGCGAAAGGCGTTGAGGCGGAGACGAAGCGCGCGGCTTCGCGGTTGTTGACGGCGCTGTCTCCGAGGGACGGGTTGTTCTTGACGTGCACATCCCGCGCCTTGACGAGCTCCTGGTGCGCGTACCAGTCCTTGTGATTCTTGATGGCAGCGAGCGCCCGCGGCCGCGGGTACGTGGATTTGCAAGTGCCATTGAGAATCGCGTCGGTAGCTGGAAGGGACTCGGGCTCGGGGAGCGGGACGCTCTTGGGGTAGAACTCAGTCAGGTAGCCGCCGCGGACGGTGTAGTATTTTTTGTGTCAAATCGGTAAAAACCTGCTCTGCAAGAGCGAGTTTTGTGGCTTGTGTTTGGCTTCATCGGTCCCGTGACTGTCGCGCCGCCGCGTTGCACATTGGACACATGCTCTCGCGCGTGGCGATGACGGTCGGCGCACGTGGCATCCTGAAAGGCCGCGCCTCGGGAGTCGAGCTGCCTCGACACAGCCGCGAGGGCGGACACTGGCCCTGCACGAGCCGGCTGTCGGGCGCTCTGGTGCTCGCAGCGGTGCAGCTGGAGTCGGAGACTCGACCTCCACCTCCGCCCCGCCGCCAGATCCACCGGACTGAGGGCGGCTGGAGCTGCAGCACGATCTGGAACTACGTGCTGAAGGGAGACGATTCGACCTACCTGGCCAACTTCCGCTGCACGCGGCGCCAGCTTGATGATCTCGTTGGACAGCTGGAAGCCGGGGCGCCATACATGGTGAGCAGGCTAGGCGGGCGGGGCAACCCGACACTCTTCCGACCTCGGAGCCACGGGAGGGTGCTCAAGGAAACGGAAGCGGCGAAAGCCGACGGTTGGTAGGAATGGGGCTCTCCTCTGGCCAGATTTGGGCTTGGAGTTGGCCGCGTCGAGTTTTGGATGATAGTTCGATTTTCAATGTACTCAATGTATGTGTGTGTGTACGTACTTTTAGCTTACTGGGAGAAAAGAGAGAGGGGGGTTGTGTTCTCTAGGCCCCTAAGGGCCCTACGCGCGGCGTGAGAGCTCGGAAGCGAGCTTTGCACGGCGATCGAGGATGGCACGGTTTACCCCCTTCACCGAAGCGATGGAGATGCGTTCCGCGTGGTGTGACACAAATGAGAGGCGGGAGTGGGGAGGGTACGCGGTGCGGTCAACGCCCGAGCGTTGAGCCTTGCGCGCAAGGCGGTTGATCTTTGCAACTGCTGGCGGCGAGAAGCCGCCGCCGAATGTCTCGTGGAGAAGCAGGTTGAACTTGTTGCGTTTGGTGAAGATCCCATCATGGTAGTGGCCACGCTGTGACTTGACGTAGCCTTGGCCGGTGGTGTGGTCGAACGCCCGTTGACCACGGAACCCGCGTTGCTTGCAGCCCATGTTTGCAAGGCGGGCGCGCTCTTCGGTGTTGCCGAAGGCGAACTTGTCTCCAACGGAGCCGGGGTTGCCTCCGGTGTCGGCGCGGCCGACTCCAACGGGCAAGCCACCCCGGAGGGGGGTCCAAAGTTTGACCTCACTGATCTCGTCTTTGCCCCCGGGAGCCGCGCCCGGCTCAGCCAGGTCGGTTTTGTAGCCCTCGTTGAACTGCTTGGTGAGCTCAGGTTTTTCGGCATCTCCCATAACGGGCCGGGAGATGGAGACGGCGGCGACACAATCGTACCAGGCGCGAAGTACGCCGTCGTGTGGGCGCCGCCGGGCGGCGTTGTTGAGGAACCAGTCGCCATGGTAGTCCTTTGCGCCACCGACTGTGTCCCCAAGTTCGAGTGCCCGCGTGACAGTCGAGCGGCACTGCGAGAGGTGAAGACCGTTTCGGCGCTGAAGTTCGCCGATGAATATGTCGTCTGGAATGGTTGTGGCGTTGCTGCCGTCAAGTTTGGTGTCGAGCCACCGCCCCGCGTAAGGCTGCGAAGTTGAGACGTAGCGGATGGACTCGCGGTAACGTATCTTGGTGTCGCCGGGCTGCCAGTTGGCTGCTGTGTAGTCGTCAAGGGCGCGCCACTCCTTCTGCAGATCGAACCAGTTCCAGATAGTCTCGATGGCAGCAAGCGCCCGCGCGTACGGGCTTCCTGATTTGCAAGTGCCATCGATGACTGACTCCGGTGTTGGAAGAGACTCAGAAGTGGGGAGGCTGACGCCCTTGGGGTAGAACTCAGAGATTTTGCCGCCGCGCAAGGTGTAGTAGATGTTGTCGTCGCGCGCGGCTCGGATGGAGGCCACCTCGTCTCGCCTCGAGAGCGCGGCTCTGTACGAGTTGACGTTGTGTGTATGTGGCTCTTACTTACGTACATTCCCGGAGGAGGACTGCTGACATTTTTGTGAACGATTTTTCGCTTGACCTCGGTGGGAAATCGCACTATTTAAGGGCAAACACCGATTTGTTGTGGGGGGGGGGTGTCAAGGTGCAGCCGCGAACAGAGTCGGAATC